CTCAGAACACCGACTGCAATCTTGTGCAATGGCAATCGCAAAGGGAACTCGGCCAGAGGCAAGTCTGCCAATTTCAAAAATATCAAAGAGGCCTTCTTGACGCTCCCATCGAAGTCGGTGTTGGAGCTGGCTAATCTTTTGAGGTAGAGGCGTGATGTGAGGGTGGGGTCTCGGTAGGCAGGATGAACACGCGATTCATCGAGATCTGTGTTGCGGCCAATTTCGGTTCTAAATGGGCCAGGTTCGATTAAGGTGACCTGAGATGGTTTTGTTATTTTAATGCTTCGTGTTCCAATCAAGACGATGCAAATCATACCCCAATATTCCATGCAGGGTTGATTTCTTCCACCAATGCTTCCGTCAATCCTTCGAGAGCTGTAGTACCGACGTCATAAGAGTTGTCAATTCTTGCTATGTGTTGTTTCTTTTGAAGCACATACCAAATTTGCTATTTGAAGGTATATATAAGCCAGATCTCTGATTAAACGATTAAATCAAAGCTCACGCTGCAGAGTACCACCCAGCTCCACACTTCGATTTGACGCCCAAGTTAGAAGAGAGCTGGAATAGGCGCCCTCCGATGGGGTCATTCTGTCGGAAGTACTCCATCGCAACCCTCGTAACCCTCGAAGCACCCCAGAAAAGAACCTAATGGATATCAATCGATACAAATAAGAAGAGAAATAGAAGCAGGTGCAAACCTCGAATGCAGATCGTGCCTCCTCTTCGGAGACACTTTCGACTTCACCCCCCAAACCTACTCCAGCATTATTGAAGACGACATCAATGCGCCCGAAATGCTCCTTGGCATTTTTAAACGCATCGTCGATCTCGGACTGGTTCGTGACGTCAAGTCGGAGGGAGAGCAGGGTATCGGGATATCGGGCCTCCAAATCATGTAACAATTCGGGCTTTCGAAGCGTTGCGACGACTTTCTGACCGTTCGAGAGAGCGCATTCCGTCATCTCACGCCCAAATCCAGTCGAGGCGCCTTGATAATGTTACTTGAGCTTGATCGAGAATTGATATTGATAGTGTTTCTTATTGTTACCTGTAACTATATGATGATGATCGGGTCATCGAGAAGAAGAAGAGTGTATAACCATAAGTTTTGGCTGTGGCACTCCATTCAAGAACACTGTTACTTACTAAACCAAACTTTGGCAGTATTCATATTGGCTGATGTAGATGCTGGAGGAGTAGTTGATACGTGGAGAGACGTGGGTGAGATGTGAATTCAACTACTTGGTGCTTGTTGTCCATTTAAATCCGGTCGGTGATTGAATTGACCTTGTGGAAATAAACCATGTGAGAAGCTTCCCATTATTCACTGAACGACTGACAGATAGAGCCATACACAAGCGTAGTGTAAGTATAAATACACGATGGCTTCTAGCTAACCGCATCAGCACGATTGCCCCGTCACGGCAACTTGCGGACCGCTTCAGGGGCCGCGGAAGGCGGACTCTCGTCAGCTCTCGTCAATCACTAAGTCGTCACTGCGGATGTCAGGTTCAACCAATTCCAATCATTCTCATGTCCAGATTCATACCTTTTTTCATGGTTTCATGGTTTCTTGTTCTTTCACATCGTTCAAGTCGCGCTCGAATACGTGTCTAACTAGTCATGGACGTGGAGATTGGACAAACCACCTCGAAAACTCCAGAGGGGCTTCCTAGAAGACCACCTGTGCTACCCAAAAGAGCTAGACGCGCGTGCTCTTTTTTAGGGCTTCCTTTTTTGGCTGCTCTATCCATTGGAGTAGCCTACATTTCATGGCGCGTTTATGCACGATTTGAGGACCCGCACGTACATGCCTACTGGAATAGAGAAGGAGATCCGAACGCCACAATGGTAGAAGCACTAGTCGTTCAGCCCTTGATAGGAAAGAAGGGCGAGCTTGGAGGAGAGTTCGACATTATTGCAACAGTATGGATAAAGGAGAAACACGTCCCCGATACTTCGGAGAGACCTTGGGAGAATCTTGTGGCGGAATGGCAAAAGCAGAGCACCATTCCTATCTTTTCAAAGACTGTGTTTGAAGGCGTCAGCTTGCAGGATAAGCATCTTCGGACGGAGGTGGACCTTGAAATTCCCGTTCATTACTTGTACGTTTGCCCTTTAGTTTCAAGTTGTTCTCTGGCCGTCCATCATGGCTTACTTTTGGTACAGTAACCGGGGTCTTCCTCGGGAAGAAGATTTGCGAGCGTCATTCGTCTTGGTTCCCAGGTCTCCCTCATTTCTGGACTATGCAAACAGCACGCTTTCTAAAGCCAACATGGATAATCTTAAACTTCTCCCTGTCCGCTCTTATCCGTGCGTTGTCATCCTGGCCTGTTATTACATTCATCCAATCCTTTTCCATTTTAGCTCTGGATATTCTCAAACTCTACAAGACGAGATTGTGGACTCTTACGGGATTTCCGTAAACTTGCTAAAATACAGCAGAATCGAGTCAAGATGCAACACAACGTGTGTACTGTATCTCCAGAGAAATTGGCAATGTTGACCAAACGCTATTTCTTTCCTGTAGAGGCACCGATTCAGCTGTTCTTAATCATCACCCATACATCATCACGCGAACCTTCATCAGGGTGGTTGATACAACAAAGGTGTATGAACTTGATCTATTCGATGCACAACATGAAGCATTAAAATGGAACAAGCTTTCGGTATGTTATCTCAGGTCAATTTCTCCGCCTAGTTGCTTATTCTACCCCAGTGTCAGATGGCCCCAATTGATGACCCGGGTTGTCGTCGGGACTACGAAACCCACGGAAACTTTGAAACGAAGTTCGACTACGTGATTCCTGTCCTCGATTCAGCAGGACAACCAGTACCGTACGAGAGACATGGCTGGGCCTATGGACCGTTTATGTCGTCCGCAAAAACGGCCTTTGGTCCCATGGTGAGCAACTTGATTAATGCAGCCTCTATGATGTGATTAACTTATGGATATTACTCTAGGACCTTGTACCCCTCCCCATGAATTTTGAGTATTGCCCACCTGAACAAGATGGCACGTCCAACTTGCTTGTTGAAGGTGAAGACCCTTGCATTTCTATCATCGGCCTTTGGCGTTTATACGAAAATTCATGTGTTTTAGATGACTCATTCGTCAACGTTACCTGGAGCATTGGTTTTTCCGGACGAACTCCTTCCAAACTTTTCTTTGGGGACGTATTGTCAGACACTGTACAATCCGCGTCGGAAGCAACGGAACAACCCAAGACGGGAGCCGAGCTCCTTCCTATATTTCAGCAATACTCTCATGAAACTGCCCGTTAGTATTCTTTTTTTTCACAATGGCAATGGTTCTGATCATCTTCAAGAACGGCTCATTGGGCACTTGTGCAGGGATGATTTCCATAGAGTCGGCACACATTTAACGCTCCTCATGATCGCGTGCAGTACTTTCTGTTCGTATATATCTGCATCATGTCTAATGTTTTTATTCCCTTCAGGACTATCCTCCCATATGTTGAGCTTCTTCTGAACACGCGCTACTATAACTCGCTAAAAACCAGTGTTGGGTTATCTCACCAGGGTGTTAGGCTCTTTGCCTTCGCCACCCTGATCAACACCATTTTATCCCCTGTTCTAGATGAGGTTTTGAGAGAGGAGATGTTCGGCCAACAGCGATGGACACTGTTGGCATGGAGCCTTTTCTCATATTCGTTCATGATACGCGCAATGCTAGAAACGGCCTTGGATATCGAATTCACATGGACGAGAAATTGGTTGTTCAAGATAATACCTGTGGCTGCCCGAGTTTCACCTACGCCCGCCGAACAAGCAAGTCGACGTCTCGAAGAGAAATTTCGTTGGTCGTGGAAGGTTTTGGTACGAAGATTTGAACTTGGCTTTATAAACCTTGCTCAACGTGGTATAGATTTTCTGCACTGCAGCTGTTGTCTGCAACTACCTCTCCACGCACGACATTTATGTCACGTCACCACACAACTCATCCAATCTGCCCGGCGGCAAGACGACGATCTATAAATTCCTTGAAATCATCGAGACTGTTATCGTCGAGCCATGCTTCGCTCTCGGATTTGTGCTCCAGCTAGCGCATAACTACCACTCCAAGACGTTCGCAGGGGCATACAGGTCTGCGATATGGGTATCTTTATTGACTAAACTTTCAGAATGGACTGCGTGGCATGGAACACTGATTGTTGGGTCACCTTTGGTTGCACCTGGGTTTACTCTTTGGCAGGCAATCGTTGGTGTTGCCCAGGTAGCTCAACTGGTGCAAAGCTACATGTATCCTGCTGTGCCACAGGACCTGAATATTGATCACGAGGTGCGGCAGGGGATGGAAGGCGAAAAGGGTAGCTAAAAATAACCAGAATCTTGTCTTGGTGCCTGTTGCCCTGAGATAAATACGAGAGACCTGGTGGGCGCTTCTTTGATCTGGTAGTTGCACATTATCGGAAAGGACTCATTAGTGTATGCTCACATAGAAATATTTAACCAGACGTTGGTCTAAAATAACATTATTGTCTTTTTTTCTCACTGCCTCCCTGTTTGATTCCAGCTCCATCGCAGTTGTTTCAGGGCTTGATGGACATCGACAAAATCTATGCAAGTAGTCAAGTGGAGGGAAGAAAAAATAGATGTCCGTAGCTGGAATCGAACCAGCGGCTCTTCGGAATTGAATTGACCACAACGAAGTGATTTAACCCCTAATCGATACGGACTCTTGAAAGTTCGCATTGGGTTGCGATGATGGTTCGAACCATCTGATGGGAACGCTAATGCCACACAATCCACAACGATGCGGGCTTGCGCCTGCAGTTTCCAATACTTGCTACACGACACAACGAGTAATTTTTTTATATGGAGTGCTCTGAAGCTGTATTGCTCAGTTTATATTTTATATGCAGCACTAGCATCCTAGTCGTTCAGAGAAAGAAGCAAAAAAAATAAATTAGACAGATTGCGGCACTAGATAACGTACTGACGCATCTCCGCATCATTTTTCATCTTCCTTCATCGTCGGTATCGATTAGGGGTTAAATCACTTCGTTGTGGTCGTTCTGTTTCAGGACAACAATCGCGAAGAGCCGCTGGTTGGATTCCAGCTACCGACATTTTTGTACAGAGGTCTTGCGCGTTTCGAGGGGGATTTCATCGTGTTTTTATTCCTGAGAGTGCTCACAAAAAATAATACCATAAATACTTTAGTTGTCAAGTCACTGAGGCTGTGATAGCACCACTAGAGATGGAAGTTGAGGTTCCGCAGGCGAAGACTCACACACCCGCACCCGCCGTGGTCGCAAAACCCCTCCTACTATCGTGCCTATTCCATCTTCCTAATGCAGTTACGAGATCTCATATTGACTCGTACAACATGAATAAAGAACGTTTTGATGATAGATTGCGTTTACTGGGTTGGTGGCTTCGACATGAACCTGAGCAATGGATGTAGAGTTGTTGGCATCGCTGCTGGGCGCCGTCTCATCTTCACATATCGTCGGTATCGATTGGGGGTACCGGTTAAAATCACTTCGTTGTGGTGTATACAGATCAGTATATTTCAAACCCGAAGAGCCGCTGGTTCAATTCCAGCTCTCGACAAATGCGCATCTTTTTAGTGGACCTGCGAAATGTCAGATGTAACCGGTTTAGCGCCCAGCGCATCTCACGGTACGCCATCCATTCATTTCATCGTCGGTATCGATTAGGGATTAAATCACTTCGTTGTGGCCTAGATACGTTCGAGTATCAGATCCCAAAGAACCATTGGTTCGATTCCAGCTGCTGACACGAATGTCTTTTTTTCCGCAACCATTTTTCGGCTGTTCATATCTGTCTTTTTGACGCGCGTAATGAGTGAACAATGACCCTTCTGAGCAGGGTCAGATTCTAGCCACAGGCTTTCTGAAATACCGATGCTAGCTCTTGTTACCAACTATCATAAATTCTACTCGCGTATGCATACTCCTTATATTGTACTTGCTGTATATCCCCCTCAAGGAACAGATTCAACATTGCCCTGTTGATGAGCACATCCTGTTTCAGGCAATGGACCAACGAAAGGTGGGAAGCACCCACGAACCATTTACAACGTCCGTATCGATTAGGGGTTAAATCACTTCGTTGTGGCTGATCCAATTCCGAAGAGCCGCTGGTTCGATTCCAGCTACGGACATTAACGTTTTGTCTCCATCACGTCTTTTTCGTTGACATTGAGATGACTCCTGCTTTTTCGCAATATATTTAAATCGAAAGCTCGTTATTTAAACTTTCACAAACCTTGGCTTGAACGCGGTAGCGCAATTTACCTCAAAGAATCACGAGCGGATAGTAATACATTGTACTGAAGCGATCGAGCCATGAAATAAAAACTTTACAACGAAATTGACAAACCTCTATTGTACATCAATGAAAGTTGCCCAGCCCAAATTAAGCCATTCATATCTAATAAGCCTGAGCTCGTGGCTGCTCTTCACCTACAGACGTCTTCAACGTTTCGTCGTTTCATCGAATGTGTTGGTATTAAACTCGATGGAGGCCGACATGCCTCGAGCGCTGTTACTTTGAAAGGTCTCATTACTTATCCATGTCAATCGATGACTTATTTTCCTTCGGGTAATGCTCATACACCAGTCGTCGGTGGAGGACAATCACCAGTGGCGACTTGCTGCTGCAAGCCTGACAGCAGGGACCAAATTTCCCACGAAACCGATTATGTTGGGCGAGTTGCCATCGTTTTTCAATCCGCTCTACCTACATCGACCTAAGGCACAATTGAAGGCCTCGATAAAATTGGAGCTTGATCTCACTAAGATCTTATCATATGGATTAATGGCTAAGTTCCAACACAACACCACATGGACCCCTCCTCGTGTTTAACCCCTAAATATTCTCATGCTTGTGAGATGAAGTTGGACAATGACATTCAAGTTGCCACGGCCCACTAATAATAGCAGACCCTTGTGGGCTATCGCCAACGAGGTGACTCGAGGAAATCTCGGGATCTAGGCTGTTGCGCTTATGATTTGATACTAAAACTAGGACTTTCTTGAACGTCCGTCTCTCAATTGTCCTGCAATCTGGACGCTCCGCTGTCCAAGTAAAGATGAACGAACTTTTTTACCAAGGCATAAACCCTCCATGGAGACCAGGTGCCCTCTCAGAGTCCAACAGGTGAGTTCACATGTTAAATTTATCCCGTACAGTCCTGTACGCGTTGTATGCCTCTTGCTGATAATTTGGTGGTATTGGTAGCGAATGGAATACACTTTTCCTACCCTTACCTTTCCTTGGGTTGTCATTCTTATATCTTGTGATAATGTTTATCTTGGGAAAATACGCGACATCTCAGGAATACGTCGTACAAATCGGCAGTACCGACAGCATTGGCCACGGTGACTGTCACCGTAAGAAAGGACTTTTGGAAGAATGCGGAGGCGCAACAATCTTCACGTTCCGCATCGCACGATTGGTTGGCTGTGTTGCATTGTTGGTGGTATCGGTCTACCAATTTATCGCACAGAACGCGTGGCATCATGCAGGGACCTGGAAAGACATTTGGCGAACCCAGAATTACCCTCAGTTAGCCATGATTGTTACATATGTGAGTTAACAGAGTCATCGTAGGCGTCCGCCAACTTGCTAACATAATCTGCAGTGGTACAGTAGTCTTCTCGCCTTCTTTGCCTTGGGGTCGGGAAGATTGTCGCGAACATGTCGAGCACATGCGATGTTCATCCTTTTGCTTGTATTTGGTATCTATGCATACCGCGATGTCTGGCCTTTGGCGACCTATACCCTGAGGCCTCAAGACGAAAATGAGGGTCCAGTGCTCCTTTACGTCAAGATAAGCATCCTGGCAGTCGTATCAGTCTGCATCCCATTGTTCATTCCAAGGCAATACACACCCGTGGACCCCAGGGTAAGATACTACGTTGTCTGTGGATAGCATTACAGTAATGTGACCCGCTACAGAATACTACAGAGGTCCCTAACCCGGAGCAAACTGCGTCACTTTTCTCTCTTGCGTTTACTTATGGTTTCTTGAACCCTGTGTTCCACGAAGCCTCACATGTCGCCCACCTGCCGTTCTCTCACTTCCCCCCTCTCGCGGATTACGATCGCTCAGCCTACCTGAAAGAGAAAGCTTTTCCCGTATGTACTACACTTACTTACCGGTCTCGACTTGATACTCATTATTGCCTATAGTACATTGACCTATTCCAGAAAAGAAGGAAATACGGAATTTATTGGGGCTTCTTAAGAGTTTTTGGTGAGTTGCGATATCAAGACGTGCCTCACTTTGACCTTATACCCCTATGTAGCCCCGGAATTTACTTTGATGGGCATCAGTGTCGTCATCCTATCTATGTCATACTTTTTGTCCCCTTGGGCTCTGAACCGCATTCTCGCGTAAGTTTTGAATATTCTCCGCACGTAATCACATTTTATTGTTTATTTCCAGATTTTTGGAAGATGACGATACCACACAATTCATCGTAAAGCCGTGGTTCTGGGTTATCTGTCTTTTCATGGGCCCTCTGGTTTCTACCTTGACTTCTGAGTGGTATCATTTCATCGGAACAGCAGTCATGATCCGCATGGAGGGGATCCTCACCCAGCTCATATTTGAGCATAGCCTTCGTGTTCGATTCAAAGCAGAAGTATCCAAGCCAGCAAAGGCAGGACAGACTTCGGAAGGCGATCGGGGGGACTCAGGAGAACGACAAAGTTCAGGAAAAAAGGAAAACATAGTCGGAAAAATTAACACCCTGGTGACAGAGGATGTCGACCATATCCTGGAAGCTAGGGACTTTCTACAGCTCGGTAAGGTTTATTAATGTCCCTCACATATACTATATGACCACTAAACCTCTGGCAGTTGTCCAGGTTCCTATGCAGCTTGGAGTTGCGTTGTTATTCCTCTATACAATCCTTGGTTGGAGGTACGTTGCATATGAGGTGTCCAATGAACTTTACCGAAATATCCTTTTACTTCAGCGCACTGGTTGGATTTGCAAGTATCATCGTCCTTTTGCCCGTACCTGGATATGTGGCCAACAAGATGGACGAGTTGCAACAGAATAAAATGGACCTAGTCTGTCTAAATAATATTTTTCTTGTGCTTTTTCTCACTTTCATCACCTTGCTAGACGGATGCAAGGGTCCAATCAGTCAGCGAAGGTCAGTTCCCATTACTTGAGATATTTCTTAATCACTGAAGTATGAATGTCTGGATCAGCAATTGGAGCTCTCCGCATGATCAAGCTTTTTGCATGGGAAAAGGCGGTCAGCGACGACATCAATGAAAAAAGGGACAAAGAACTTCAATCCCTCTGGAAGAATAAGGTTCGTACATCGCATCTACGGATTCGTACACCTCCTCACCATTTCCCTCTGTACAGCTAATCGATAGCGTCAACACAGTAGTCAAGTATATAACCCCCCCTGATTCAATGTGAAATCGACTAATCTAACATTGCAGCTCATTGATACCGACCTCTACCATGATTCTTACCTACGCTATATACACCCTCGTGATGAAGAAGCAATTGAACGGTAGTTTCCCTCTCCCGCCCTTCGTCGCTATACCCTTCTTAACCATCACCACAGCATCCATCGTATTCTCAAGTATGGCTGTCTTCGATACCTTGCGCGCCGTCCTTCGCGGGCTCTCAAGATCCATCCGTGAGCTCATACAGAGTGCGCCTGTATTCGTTTCGGCCCAAAATACGCTCTGCTGAGCATATCGTTAACCTTTGTAGGTAAAGTCTCGTTCGACCGCATGGACAAATTCCTGCGCGAAACCGAGCTCTTGGACACCTTCGACGAGAAAGTGGGGTCAGTTGCTTCGATCACCGATGCCGAAACAAGCACAGAAATTGGCTTCAAGGACGCGCATTTTGTATGGTCGACCGATGATGCTAGGGGCCCTGACACGCCGTCTGGCCGTGCTTTCCGCCTTAAGATTGACGGTACCATTACCTTCAAACGTGCTTGCCTCAACGTTATCGTCGGCCCAACGTAAGTTTATCTATTATCCACCTAATACACGCTCCTAAAATCGATACCAGCGGTGCAGGAAAAACTTCCATCTTGATGGCCCTCCTGGGTA